TAGCTCCACCTCGGAAAGACTTTCGACCAACTTGACGTAATATGTTACTCAAAAGTTGTTGAAAACTCCCCGACAGGCCGCGAAAGGGTTCCCATTTCTTGTGACTAATCAGGTAGGCGTGGTCTTCGCCCCCCCCCCCCACGCGGCCCGGTTTGATAAAATCAACCCTCTTTTTTACACTCATCTGTATACCGATTGGGTTTTGACGGGAGACTCACCAGGAACGTAACGGCCTGGTGTCACATTCGTTTGCTTGAGATAATTCTAAACGAGAGATTCAGCTGGGTTCCAGGTACATCTCCCGTCTAAACCACAGTGGTATTCGAATGAGTCTATTTGTCTATCATACTGAAGATAACTGGACACTTGAGCAAACAAGGTGTGGAAAACTACAACCCGTGGATGAGCGATTAAGGCTATCGAGCAAAGCTTGAGTTTTATCCCGCTCCACTGTCGCTATGAATACAACCCAGAGACTACTGCGCGGCTATTCAGCGCCGTGAATTTTGTTGTCTCAGATCACCTAGTAACCCGAGAAACCATCTATCGATACCTTCTTGGGATCGTCACGATTGTGGTCACCCCATATACTCGTACTGAGTTTGATTGTACAGTTCAGCTCATCCACGCTTGTTCTTGGACAAGTAAAGCTTTGTTTATTCTCAATAAATCTGACTTCTAACTCATTTTCGGGTATCATAAGATCCGACCACGAAAAGGTGGAACCCGTTCATCAGTTACTACCTCCTCGTACTACCACGAAAATGCGAAGCGTCGTCGGTATTTTCGCATACTTTACCCATCGGATATGTACGTTTCCAGACAAACTTAACAAACTGACACGGAACGAAGAATTTCCCGCGGTCATCAACTTACACTTCGAAAATTTAAAGGGCGAAATAGAAATGGCTTTGCTAATTGCAATCGACTATAACGAGCCTTTAGTTATTGGAAAAAAAACGTCAGATGTTGGTATGATCGCATCCCTCAGCCAAAACCACCGGTCGGTGACACCGGTCGGTCTTGAGGACACACAATTCAGTAGAGAGGAATCAGTCTTCTACCAAGAAGGAGGCGTACGCCATCACTGAATTCGTCAGGAAAGAACATCGCTATCTACTCTGAAGACTCTTCGGACTGATAACCGATCAGCGTTCTGTCATATTCATGTAAGGCGATTGAAAGAAGGGCCGAGTAAAAGATAACGACGCTGGAAGATTGAGTCAACTGAGTGCAAGTATGATGTATTCTATCGACCTAGCAAGGACATTTATGTCACCGACACGCTATCGCGCAACGCATGTGCTTCTATAGAGAGCAACAACCAACTTAGAGAACTCCATAACTCACTCTGCCCTCCAGGAATAACCCATATGTTTCAATTTATGTATTGCAAGAACCTCCCTCACCCCGCCAAAGATGTCAGACGTGTTATTTCCTACTGCACTGTGTGCCGAGCAAAAGCCAAGATTTTGAAAATCCCACGATAGACTTAACAAAGCAACACAGCCTTTTGTGTGTTTGAGTTTGTATTTCAAGGTCCCTTGTCAGCAACTGTGACTGACTGTCTCACGCGAATATTCGTCTTATTCGGAATGCCAGCCTATATCCATTCTGACAGAGGTTTACTGAAGTAAAAAGCTTCCTCATGAAGAAACATGTTGTAACGAGTCAAACATTGGCTTATAACTCACAGTATGACGGTCAGGCTGAGCGTCTCGGAGGTGCCCTCTGGAAAGCAATAGGTCTGACATTAGAAGCTCACCATCCACCGCCACTGTCATTGGGGATCATTACTCCCTGGTGCTCCACACACCATCCAGTCACTGTTATGTAAGGCAACCAAATGTATTCCACACGAAAGTTTCAATACGCACGCCGCTGAACCATTACAGTTAACCACTCGTGGGCTGGTTGTGTTGCACCGAGACTATTGGTCATCTAAATATCAACTGCAAGTTGAGGAAGTCGACCGACTGAATTGCAACCCACACTATATTTACATTCCTCAATCCAAACTGTATCCCTTAGCCATCTGGCCTCGGCGGTTCAGAATACACCTGACGACGTTCTCAACCTGCCTGAATCCAATAGAGGCACCAAACACCAAGATATAACTGAAACCCCCGGCTGTCAGTCCAATCTTTCTCGGGTATCTGAGCGCTTTGGAACCTTATTTCAAAGGCCAAATGAGTTATCCCGAAATTTTAGAGCAAAAGCTACGCGTTTAAGAAACATAGAAGCCTGATGCAGTACATCAGCACCTATCTACGTCACTTCACACGTCCCCAATCAGAGAAACGCCAAAATGAATGGTACGAGTGCTCTCTGCTTATCATTGTAATAACCCTATGTACTCGTACTGAATCCTGGTTTGTTTTTCAACGTAGTGACCACAATGTCATCTCCCCTTCTATAGGTTTATACACAATCACAATATGTTAAAAATTACACTTTCGTTTGCATACAAACAGGCATTTTCTTATAATATGATCTCCAGAAAGCTCCCTAGCTAAGGCTCAAGTTACTCACCGTGAGGTTCATAGCTTCGATGTATTTGTGGTATTTCGATTGCTGATATCTAGGTGTCAGCAGCCTCACGTTATCGTATCTTTCGTAATTTCTTTGTTGATCCGTTATCAACAGAGTACCACAGCTAACTGATTTGATTCACCTTACTCTAAACTAAGCGTTATATTTCTGAAATAACTTTCTTGTGCTGTTTTTCAAAAAAAGAAACTCTATTCTCTTTTAGTTCCTCAAGTTCCAACAGGCATCAAGGTCAAAGTGGTCGCAAATGTACCCCGAGCGACGATTTTCTGGTCGGGTGACGCTACGGAATTTCGCGTGCGCATATACAAAATGGATGGGTCGATAGTACAGTCGTCAGACTCTACTCACTCACCTGTTAGTCTAGACAAACTGCCAATGTGTGAACGCCTGTTTGCTGGTGTACTTCCTCGCAGTGGGAACGAATTCAGTCAACAAGGCAGAAGTGACGACTTCCTTATACAGTCAGGTAACATGCTCCATTTGATTATTTCAACCAGATGGGATGGCTCGGAGCATTTCAAAATCACTCAAGTTTCCTTTGATCTTAACTGTCACTGAGAAATGGATGAGTTTCTGAGTTGTGCAATCACCAACGAAAGCTCAACTCATCAGTGGGCTGTGGTATGATATTATATAAGTAGTTGATCAGGACACTCACTGCGTTTCTGACCCATTTTTACCGTGACAGTCAAACGAATGACTTTCCTTACTTCAGAAAAAAAAAACACTTTTATTTGAGAGGGAGTCTAAATCAAGCCAATTATGTGTATAAGTTTTTGAATACATGAGCTTCCGCTTAATTTTGTGCTTGCTTGATCCATCAGTCTTAAATCTGTTTAAAACCACAAAGTGGTAAATGTAACTGGATTGATTTGCTTAGTTTTTCTTACTACCGATCTTCGGTGCCAACTGTGCTCCACAGTGAAAATTAAGCCAGAATTCATTCATGCTCAGAGTGGAACCACGTTTCGCCTAGAGAACGCCAATCACATCCGAATTCCACTTGACCTTGAAAGTACATAATAGCATTCGTAAACTTGATGAAAATCATGACTGTTCACGTTTCGTTTCCATACCCCACAAAGACAGACAATATAGACTGTAAATGAAATGACGTTCGACAAATTATTGTCATTTAGTTTTGAAGAGCATGGTCACAAACATAACAAGTGAATGCAAGCGATGAATGCAAAAGAGTAACAGGAGACTATGAGATAAAAGAGAGAAACGTCTCATTCAAAGTCATGCCACCAACAGTTCCAGTCAGATGAGATGAATCCCAACGTATGTAAAAATTTTGATATGGAAACACGCGTCTAAAGACCAACAACCAAAGAGGGGACAAACAATGTTGAATGCTCTTCAAGGCGCGGTAAGCGCTAGCACATCAGGCACAAAGTGTTCGTCATACTGGGTCTCGTATGAGGTTAAATGGAAAAAATGCACATTCAACGCCATGTGCCACGCACAGAAGTGTCATAAGCACGCAGAGAGCCCACAATGGCAAGTAAACACAAGTCACTGACTGTGATCTTAAGAAGTTCCAGTCCGATAACAGCCTTGGAGGATTGAGGAAAGCAGATCCCTGGGTAATAGATGAACACCGGTTGGTGAACCAACTGTAGGACTGAGATTATGGCGAGGGAACACTCATCAGAACCATACTTCTGCCTCTTCTCATTCCATACAGTCACTCTGCACCCATCCGAGACTATAGTGACGTCTATTACGAAAAATAGAAGACATTTTTCGACAGAACCATTAAACCCATTCGGCCTTCTCAGCGGAACCCTGAGTTGAAGAAAGACCTATTCTCCCCCGATTTTTTTCGGGCAGATTGAATGCAAAAGCACATGTAACACTATGACAATTATTACCCATCCAGTGGAGTGATCTGCCTTCTGAAGGCCCCACATCGGGGGACCAGCATGTACAATGAACAGATCGATCAACGAAGTAATCCATATATATGTGGATGGGGATGAAGAAGGGTTTGATGAGCATGTGGTCGCGTATCCAGACGACAAATTTCTCACAGAAAACCTACCAGAGAGATGATAAAAACGAATAAACATACACATTTATATAGCGTGTTCCGTCTGGACATTTCAACAAGCAGATTCCTTGCATTTTCACATTGTCCACAATTCGATCAACACTACGGTCTGAGGACACAGTAATTCGAAGAAAGTAGTAGCTAGCGCTGAGGAGTCCATCTGTCTTCATCAGTGAAGGACACCCGTTACTAGTGTGTTCAGAACTCATCGTAATGGCTGCGATGCACGCGTTGTTTTGATTCGCGTTAGCTAGAAAGGTATACCAATTGTACAGACACGTTGTTGAGGAACCAAGCGTGTGTGAAAGTTAGAAATATGTATTTTTTTCTCCCTTAAAATCATAAAGCTATTGTGCCTTTCAAACCGTCTCGTTGAATCTCTCCTTCAGTTCCAATTCCTCCCAAGAACGTACGAGTGAGAACCCTGACAAATGTGGCCAATGCGAATGTGTCTTGGGAATACGACAGTGCTTGCGCTGCTACTGATTTCCTCGTTGAAGTATACAAAAAAGACGGGTCCTTGTTGATGTCTCAGCCAGCAGACAGTCAAACCATATCGCTCAAACAAATTCCATTTTGTGAGGCGTTGTACGTGAGTGTGCAGGGACGTAACGCTCGTGGAATGGGTCAACGAGCCAACAGCTCTGAATTCAAAATTTACGCAGGTAAGTGGGCACTCTGTTTGTTTCCTTCGAAAGTAGTGAATGAGCTTAGCGAATATACACTCATTTGCAAACTAATTTTGTTTTGCAAGAGACTCGCCTACAGTCCAGCTGAATCTCTCGTTTGTGATGTTTCCAGGCTCAGCTGGGTGAGTCTCTCGCAAAACCAAATTAGTTTGCAAATGGGTGTATATTCGCTAATTTCGTGCAATTTAGTTTCAAGTAAGAAATAAGGTCGACGGAAACTCGGAGGCCGCGCCTACCTACTGGGCCCCAAGAAGGCGGAACCGGTCGTAGGCTGTCGACGGATTTTCAGCAACCATATGAGTAGTGCATAACAAATATATAGATGAATGAGCTTGCTTTTCCAAGGTCACGCTTGTTAGTATCATCTAGCAGTGACGGGGCTACGATCCGGGATATTTTTCACGGTCGAGATATCAGGGTCTCTGTGAAAATCCCTAGGGTCTTAGAGCCAACAGAGAACGCAATTTATTCTACTGACTAGATCCTGAAATTGTTATGTACAGAACAACATCGAATCAACACAGTACATACTATCTGGACAACCAATCCGTCAAGCTGTGATTTAGTCTAATGAAACATTTCATGTCACATCATATACGACTGAGCATCCAATTGAGTGATGAGAGGCGTGGTCATGGCAACTGATCAAATCAAATCCAAATATTATTAGTTCCGTTGTTTGATCGTATCGATTTTTTGATGCTCAATGGACAAAACATTCTCCACGTTTTAATCATTAACAAACCATTGAACTAGTTGTTAAAAATATCCCAAATAAAAGTCGTAAAACCGTGAAATTTGCTGCCATTTTAACTCCGACTTCTGTTCTAAAAAAAACTCGCCAAATCTTAAACCAAACAAGGAGTTTTTAGTAAGCGTAGAATTTGCTGCACAAAAGCACTTCGGCATCCATTAGCAGAACGTGTGAGACATCAGAAGTTATGAGAAAGCACGACGAACCCTTTCACATGTCCTCATGCTTTACCTCCTAGCACCTAGGCCACCAACTGACGTCAAAACGGAGCTGCAACAAACGCTGAAGAAGATTCGCGTATTCTGGAAGGATAAATCAGAATGTGCCGCCACAACATTTCACGTGTTCGTAAGAGTGCAACAGTCCCCCATCATCGTCACAGCCGACACAACTGAGGCCTTTTTAGATTGGTTGCCTTCGTGCGGTGCTCATTCTCTACACGTGTCTGCCGTGAACAGCTATGGGTCAACAAAACGATCGCCTACGCTAAGGTTTTACGTTCCACAAGGTAAGCGGGTAAACTGTTTTCTCCTCGTCGATCTGTTCGAAAGTTACAAGCTGAGGTTAGCCAAATCACTCAGTGAAAATCTACAACACACGCTTATGGGATAGATTGATGGTTGTTCAGCTGAGCGCAATTCCGCGCAACCACTCAGAATTTCCGGCATGGGATTTTGGTGCCACCATTCCTGACACATGTGGCTCAAATATGGCAGTACGGTCATCCAAGTACAACACATCTTATCCAAAACAAGTACGCAAACTAATCAGGATTGTGTGACTGGTGGGACAGTGCACAGATGAGATGAGGGTTCATATTCACTGCACTGTTTTGCCTTGCTTTGCGTTAGAACCTTCGTTGTCGTCATCACGTATAAACTTGAGTGAGCGAAACACACTCATTTGCAAACAAATTTGATTTTGACGAGACGATCACCTGAAACTCAGCTGAATCTCTCGCTTTCAGCAACATGAGCAGTGTACTTCCTCTATATATGTATCGCGATATCTCGAATACCGTAGCGACCGAAACATGAGGCGGCCCGGTGCAGCACATTCAGTTGCCTGGAAACATCACAAACGAGCGATTCAGCTAAGTTTCGGGTGAGACTCTCGCGGAACCAAGTTTGTTTGCAACTGAGTGTATTTCGCTAATTTCGTGGAATTGGGTCTCAAGTGGAACATAAGGTTGATGGAATCTCGCGGACTGCGCCTGCCTGATGAGCCCCGAAAAGGTCGAGACCGGTCGTGGGCTGTCAAAGAATTAAATGAGTAATCCTGTAGTTGATAGACGAACAGACAGATAGTATGCAAGGATTAATTTAAAAAACCTCCAACCATCCGAGATTGTAAACGGTAAGACGGTGAAATGCTGCGTTTTCTGCAGACTGGAGAGGTTCGTTTGGCTCCTGTTCGACTGTGACACCCTCCCGGTGCTGAGCTGCCATTCCACCTGAAGGACAAAAGAGCCCAGCCGGGCTGCATAAGCCTACATATGAGTAGTCGAGTTACGGGATTTAGGTTCGAACCACGGGCGTTCTGATCAGAAAGTCCGCGTCTTAACCACTGAGCTTTCTCGAGCTCAGAACTATTTTGATTCTGTGCCCTAAAAAAACAGTCATTTAGTTTGGAATAATTCCAAACGTTTCAAACGAAGAGTAATCGAGTTCATGTACGTCAGTAGATCGAAATGGAGTCCACTCCAAGGACAGGTCAACTATGTTTGGATTCACCATGTACTTGCATGAATAGCCATGTACGGATGAAACCGCTGCGTATGAAGAGAGAGTTATCCGTCCGTGTGCTTGCCACCAACGTGACATTACAGTTGGACAACACCTAGACCTCCCATCTGTCGTATACGCCTAGCAGTTCAATCATATTACAGTGAAAAAATGACTCATTCATTTATACTATTGAGGGTTTCATTCACTGTCCACCACTGGAAAATAACGTAGTCCATCTGATGCCTAAATTTGGCGTTCCATTTGAACTTCACTCACCATGAATTATCCGGCAACCTATATGCTATCGTCACTATCATCAGTCAGTATTCAAGCATCACACGCACGTCATAGCACATTGAATGCCTTCCTAGACACCTTAAAGCCATCGTCTTCCCACCGGATTGCAGGCAGTTCTTCCAAATTCAAGCGGGTTCTTCACCAGATGTACACGGAATCATGGAATAATACAAAGTTTGAGGATTGCGAAGGGAGCAAACCAACTATCAGGCGTTTAAAAACTCAATTTGTCATCGCAAGCGTGGAAAGTTATTCAGTTGCTAGTGAAACTGCGTGTTTTACGGGAGGACCGCTTCATTGCAGTTCTAGCGTGTGACCAAAATTCGGTTTCTTGCTTGTACATACACGTCATAACGAAAGCTAAGCACGTTTATTCTTGAACATAAGCACATTATGTTATCGACGTGGTGAATTCAACCCGTGTGTTATAGTTTTGGGAAATTTGGACTCGTTATTTCTCTGGCGATTATCTCACTATGGGACTAATTGATTTTCAAAAAAGTGATCAGCAACATTTGAGGAAATCATACAAAATCCTCAGACGGGTCCAAAAATGTGTATGTAATGCAACATATATTGTGTACCATGTGGCTTTCATATAATTCTTACAATAT